GGAATAAATTGAATGAACTGTATACTGAGACCTCTTTGCCTAACCGGATATTTTTACTTGAAAAGTTCTTCAAATTTAGACTAGATATGTCTATAGATATTGAAGAAAATCTAGATGTTTTTACCAAACTTATTTCGGATATTAAGTTGTGTGGTGATAAGCATATAGATGATTATTCCCCTATTGCTCTTTTAAATGCTATTCCTGATTCCTTTGGTGATGTGAAATCTGCTATCAAGTATGGTAGAGATAATGTGACTCTTGACATTGTGATAAATGGTCTTAAGAGTAAGGAATTAGATTTAAAACAGATGGGTGAGGGTAGAAAATCCGAGGAAGTTATGCATGTGAGAGGTAGAGAAAATAATAGTAGACGACATAGATCTAAGTCTAGGTCTAATTCGAGGCGTTGCTATTATTGTCATGAACCAGGTCATTTCATAAGAGACTGTCCTAAATCTAGGAAAAATGAGCATAGTGAGCATGCTAATTTGACTACATGTGAAGATGATTTAGGTGATGTTTTTATGATGAAAAATCTATGTGATTATGACTATTTGAATTCTGTGATATCTGATTCTTTGGGTAAATCAGATTGGGTGGTAGATTCTGGTTGTAGTTTTCACATGTCCCCTTTGAAAAATGTTTTTTCAAACTATAGAGAGATTAAGCATGGCTTTGTGTCTTTAGCAAATAAGAAGAAATGCAATGTGCTAGGAATAGGAGATGTATGCCTTAGGTTTTCTTCTGGTTATGTGCTTACTTTGAAGAATGTTAGGCATGTTCCTGAGCTGTGCTGTAATTTGCTATCTTGTGCTTCTCTTGAAAATGTGGGTTTGAAGGGAAAATGGGGAAAGGGAATCATGAAAGTTGTGAAGGGTTGTTTAGTTGTTTTCAAAGCTGAGATGAAGAACAACTTGTATGTTTGTCATGCTGAACCCGTACTTGATTCTGTGAATTGTGTGCAACCCTGTGTGCTAGGAAAACAGTCTAGAGTTGGTTTTCCTGATCTGCCTAAGTGTACTAATGTGCTTGATTGTATTCATGCTGACTTGTGGGGTCCTTATAGTGTTTCCACTCATGGTGGGAAAAATTATTTTCTGACGTTGATTGATGATTTTTCAAAGAAAGTGTGGGTTTTGTTGATTGAGAATAAATCTGAAGTTTTTGATAAGTTTAAAAACTGGAAAACCCTTGTTGAAAAACAAACCGGTAAGAAAATTAATTTTTTAAGGACCACAGTCAGTTTTGATTTATGTGATAGTCAGCTTGATGATTTATGTGATACTTGGGGTATTGTTATGCATAAATCTGTTCCCTCCACACCCCAACCGGATGGGGTTGCTGAGAGGATGGTTAGAACTTTATTAGAGAGGGTGAGGGCTATGTTAGCTTCATCTGGGCTCTCTAATAAGTTCTGGGGGGAAGCTATTTGTTACGCTGTTGATTTGATTAATCTGTCCCCGTCTGTTCCCTTAGGAGGGAAATGCCCTGAATCTGTGTTCATGGGCAAACCACTTAACTTGCCAAATTTGAGAGTGTTTGGTTGTGCTGCTTACGTGAATCGTGTGAATGATAAATCTGAACCTAGGACTAAGGAATATGTTTTCTTAGGATATTATGATTGCATGAAAGGTTATAGGCTTTGGTGTAGGAGTGAAACTTGCTTCAATGTGTTGATGAGTAGAAATGTCATTTTTGTTGAAAATGAATTTCCTTGCCTGCTTGTTTCTCCTGATGTTGCTCCAAATGAGGTGGAGCATTTGCCTGTTGAAGTTCATTCCGATTTACTTGTTGAAACCAAACCCAAATTTGTGAATGAAAATGTTTTTCATGTTGAAAATAAAGAAAATAATATTTCTATTAAGGTGGAGCATGATATGAATGTTGTGTGCAATATGCTTGAGTTGCGTGATTGCCATGTTATTAGAGATAGAGACATTAGGAAGCATGTGAGAAATAATATGTGCAATGTGTTTGACTATATTTCCTCTGAATTTGCTTTAAATGTGCTTAATTCTCTATTAATTAAAATCTTTGTGATATTTGGTATGCTATTTTCTTTGTGTTTTGAAAATGTGATACCAAGTGATTATGTGAGCTCTACCTGTGCTAGTTATAGAAATAATATTATTTCTTTTATTTTCTGTGTACTTGCTTTGTGTGGTTGTTGGATTAGTTGGAATCCCCAACTTTTCCCGGATGCTTGCCTGCGTGGTCTATTAACATATCTTGTGTTTGTTAATAGCATTGTGATGGTTTTGGTTCTGAACTCGAGGACCGATTGGTAGAGTTCAGTCCATCGTGAAGTGGGTTTGCACGGTAAGCTTGGTCCGAAAGGGAACTTTGGTTCTCATCTATTACTTGTATGATCGCAATGATGTACTTGTAATGGTTCAGCGATGATGAGTCTCCTCACAACCGTGTATTTGTTACTCTACACCACCTAGGACCAATAAGGTGGAGAATGTTGGAGGTATTGGTCCTACCAAGGCTTCCCTTCCACTTATTTGTGTTAAGGCCTGCACCCTATGTTTACTCCTATTTCCTACACTCTTACTGATCTAGCTAGCCTGGCATTTCCTATCCGCTGCCAACTCTTATTGACTTGGTATTATTTGTCTCTTGGCCTCCTGACTTTTGCTAGCCTGTCTCGAGCCCCACTTTTGTTTGTCTTTGACACCCATGAGCAAATAATAGCCTACTATAATTGAGTGCTTCTCTTCCCTTTTTGAGAGATACGGTGAGTTCAATACAGTGAGCTCCTCTTCCTTCCTTTGTGTGGAGTTAGAGTGTGAGGGAGTGGTAAACAAGGTGAGTGGAGTGGCTAAACAATCCTGGGTGGTGTGTGTGAGTTGTTTTGGTTGGAGACCTGAGCTGAAATACACACCCAACAGTTGTCGGATTAGGTGATTCCGACCTCCCCTTTTTTTTAAAAAAATTGTTAAGTTTGGGTTAGTTCACCAATACTACTAATTATAAGAGATTTGACAAATATAAGACCTCTTCCTAATTCTTCCAACAAAGAGACTACCGTGTGATTATTTTGTAACTTAAAGCATCAAACTACCAAATATACCCCTTCCTAATTAATACTCTATATAATACAGTAACTGATTACTACTACATTAATACGTACGTAGTAAATACTTCCCATTGCCATATCCTAGCCTTCGACATTCTATAGCCATTTTCCAGAAAAAAGTCGTGTGACTTTTATACTTCCCAAATTACCATTATCCGGTGTTTCCAATTTTTTTACTGTTATCCGGTTAATTGTCCAACTACTTCTAATTATCCGCACGCGACCGGTTAGAGTTACCCATTCAGTTACAATTATCCGATCCGTGTAGTTACAGTTACTCGACCCGTCCAGTTACAGTTACTCGATCCGTCCAGTTACAATTACCCGATCCGTCCAGTTACAGTTATCCAACCCGACTCATTCAGTTACAATTACCGACCTGACTCATCCAGTTACAGTTACCCGATCCGTCCAATTACAATTATTCGACCCATCCAGTTACAATTACTGATCCATCCAGTTACAATTACCCGACCCGTCAAGTTACAATTACCCGACCCGTTCAATTACATTTACCCGAATCGCAATAACAACACCGAAACCACCACCGTCCACCACCGCTGGCCGCCAGCGCCCCAACTCCACTACCCCCGCTGGCTGCCACCACTAGCCACCAACCTCAGGCCCCAGCCTCACTACCACCACCGTCCATCAGCTGACCGCCAGCCCCGAACTCCATTACAACTGCTAGAACCCACCACCGTTGGCCGCCACCGCTCGCCAACCTCAGCCCCCAGCCCCACTGCCACTGTTGGAAACTACCACCGTCAAACACCGATGGCCGCCAGCGCTAGTTGCCAAAGACCCCAGCCCCTCTCCTAGACTCCTACACCAACACAAACCCCCTTCAAGCGTACCCGATCCTCCTCTCCATCATGCCCCCATCCCCCAAGCCTCCCTGCCCCCAGCCACCGCCACCGCGCCTATCCACCACCGCCCCATCCCAGCCCTATCCTCAGCTCCCAGCCATTAGACAATCGCTGCCCCACCTGCTCACCCCGCCTCCAGTCCCTGCAATATCTGCATCCCAACACCATACCTCGCCCCCAGATCCAGCTCTGGCAACCAGCCGCTCGTCGTACTCGGTCAAATCTGAGACCATGTCCGCTTCTTGGTAAAACAAATCATCTTCGAACCCTCATCTTAAAGCATAACCACTTCTTGATGATTAACTTCTCTGATGGTGTCGATGCCGTTGCTAATCGACCGAGAAGGAGGAAGATAAAGTGGAGCTACGTACCAGAGAGATGGAATATGGCGGCGGCAGAGAGCCTGAAGATGGAGGTTTAATCAATTGAAGAGAAATCGAGGTGCGAAAAGCGAAGCAAAGACATACCTGAGGTTCGATCAATTGAAGATGGAGCACTGAAGCAAAGGTTCGATGGATTGAAGGACATGCTCAGGTGCGGAAGAAAGGGCAGGGCTATTTGTGACTGTTTGTGCTTAGGGAATACCATTTTTGTCCGTTTCAACTTTAGGTCCTATATTTATCCAACTAAAAGTCATAGATATTATTTATGTCATTATTTCTTTTTTATTTGTAGTTATAAAAATGTTAAAGTTTGAAATTGTAGGGTTAAATGAAAACTTTTTGGTATAATTTATTTGAATTTTATCCATTCCAAGTTTAAAAGTTTAATTATATTAATCACATGTTTTTTTAAAATCTAAACATTTTGTATGTGTAGTATAAAACATTTGATTGCTTTATATTGTTTTGTAATGCATTTGTATTGTGATTTTTTTTTTAATTGTAATTTTTGTAATTTTAAGTGTAATTTTGATTTAATTTATTTATCAAATTAGGTACAACTATGATGGTGTTTTGAGGGCAATTTTAGTAATTTTAAAGGAAGTGAACAAAAAGAATGTACTTTTCAATGTAATTCATTAATGAATAGAGAGTACATATAACATTAAATTTAATACTACAGCTAATGTTGTGTGCTCGGCCCTGCTCCGTCTCCACCGCCACTGTTCCAAGGCACCGTTGGGTCTCCATACAAATATGACGAACTCAGAAATGAGTCAACAAAATCATCGGGTTGCCTAGTGAACTGATAAGATTCATAATACGGCGGTGGTTGATCAAATGTGAGGGATTGATGCGTTGAGAATTGAGGTGGTGGTTGATCAAATGACACACCATCCGATGATGACTCCTCACCACCACCTTCATGTTCATGTGCATCATCCTCTTCGTGACTTCCACCTTCATCTTCATAATGGAACATGCCCCGGTGGATCATGTCTTCATCACCTGCGTCCACGGCCAGTTTCCGTATTCGTTTTTGAATGTCGTCATTACTCGCGTCGTTGATGCTGAGCTGATACAACTCGTAAATGCCTTGTTGCTACATAAAATTTTGTAACATATCAACTTTATGACATGATATATGTTAATGAAAAGTATTTTTTTAAAAATACTTACCACAATACCCCACTGGTGTGCTGTCGGGGTATAGCCTGTCGTGGGCACAATGTGAGAAGGGTTCTGCACACGTGTCATACCATGCTTCTTGTACCATTTTTTGTACCTATTAGTGGCTTCGACGAACATCTGTTGATCATAATCGAGAAAATATATGTGATCTTGTATGTTCGCCCACATCGCCAAGGCACCGGTTGCTATGTTGGAGCGATTGCCGTGATGATCACTACCTGCCAAAGGAGCATCCGGAATGTCTTGCCTTATATGGAACTGCCGAAGAAATCGATCGGGGTAATGCATTTCGGCCATATTGCAAAATATGAGCATGACCCTAGCCGACCATATCGGAGCTTCATGAAGGATGATAGGTGAGAGTGTCTCGGACGCGTAGGGAACGAAATCAAACTGTAAAAAGTTTAATTTACAATTTAAGAACTATAACATAATGTGTATTGAAAATTGAATAGTACAGTTGAAGTACAAACTTCGAGTGCTACCTGACTCTCACTCATGCGGTCTAGTGAATCCCGGTACAAGCGTATGCAATGTCTAGGAGATCCCTTATAAGATTTAGGGACGATCCACCTACATTTGTTGATTAGCGATATGAAGTTAAAAAATGTAACGTTAAATAAAACATTCTAAATTATTAAGATGTAATTGGCAACATACCTGCACCCATATGGAAGATGATCATGTTGAATGACCTGAAGTACCGAGGGACGAAGCATCGAAATCCTCGACCAAGCCCAAATCTGTAACAAGTGCATACAGCCGCCAACTTGTTTGGTTCCCCACTTGGCGCCGTTACACAAGTTACGATAGAGGTACCCGAGAACTGCCGATCCCCAACTCCATCGACGGGTTAAAGCCAAGTCACCCTGCAAGACTTCCAAAAAATACAATCGTATTCTTGCCGCACTCGTGTCAGGGAACAAGAACCCTCCAAGCAATTGCCATATTAGGCTCCTGGTGTGTTGTTCAACCTCTTCGTCTGTACTATAGGGCACAATCGGGAGACGAGTAATAGCACTCTTCATGATATCACTCGTGCGGATGTTAGAAGCTACAGGAGTGAAACCACATGACTGCGTGCACAGGTTGATCCACTCAGCCTTACCCTTAATGGTAGGACCACTAAGGGGCATACCTCGAATGGGTAAACCAAGAATCATCGCCACGTCTTGAAGACTAATGCCAACCTCACCGAATGGAAGATGGAAAGTATGTGTCTCCGGCCTCCATCTCTCCACCAAAGCACATATTAAACTATGATCTAACTTCATGCGGGCAATGTGCTCTACCCCCAAGAACCCAGCATAAGCTAACATGTTTACTACCCTTTCATCTCGCTCCTCGTCTTGGAATGCAGCTGAAGGGCAATTCACGCATTTTAAACACGAGTCTATGGAATCGGGTTCATACCATACACGGTCAGCACGATGGGCACGGAGTGGCAACGTGAGTAGTGAACGGTTAACAGGCCCTGGGCACGGAATGTTTTGGTCCATTTGAAATTCCTGAAATAAGTATTTTTAAGTTTGTACTTTTTTTTTCCTAAATTTTACACTAATAGTCCAATATGACAATATAAATAAAAAATTTACACATAAAAAAATTAACTACTTCTACACTACTAAAACCCAAATTTAACTAACCTCATAAATGTAACACAATCTCTAAGTTTGTACTATTTTTTTTACTTAAATTTTACACTAATAGTCCAATTTGACAATATAAATAACAAATTTACACATAAAAAAATTAACTACTTCTACACTACTAAAACCCAAATTTAACTAACCTCATAAATGTAACACAATCTCTAAGTTTGTACTATTTTTTTTACTTAAATTTTACACTAATAGTCCAATTTGACAATATAAATAACAAATTTACACATAAAAAAATTAACTACTTCTACACTACTAAAACCCAAATTTAACTAACCTCATAAATGTAACACAATCTATAAGTTTGTACTATTTTTTTTACTTTAATTTTACACTAATAGTCCAATTTGACAATATAAATAACAAATTTACACATAAAAAAATTAACTACTTCTATACTACTAAAACCCAAATTTAACTAACCTCATAAATGTAACACAATCTCTAAGTTTGTACTATTTTTTTTACTTAAACTTTACACTAATAGTCCAATTTGACAATATAAATAACAAATTTACACATAAAAAAATTAACTACTTCTACACTACTAAAACCCAAATTTAACTAACCTCATAAATGTAACACAATCTATAAGTTTGTACTATTTTTTTTACTTTAATTTTACACTAATAGTCCAATTTGACAATATAAATAACAAATTTACACATAAAAAAATTAACTACTTCTATACTACTAAAACCCAAATTTAACTAACCTCATAAATGTAACACAATCTCTAAGTTTGTACTATTTTTTTTACTTAAATTTTACACTAATAGTCCAATTTGACAATATAAATAACAAATTTACACATAAAAAAATTAACTACTTCTACACTACTAAAACCCAAATTTAACTAACCTCATAAATGTAACACAATCTCTAAGTTTGTACTATTTTTTTTACTTAAATTTTACACTAATAGTCCAATTTGACAATATAAATAACAAATTTACACATAAAAAAATTAACTACTTCTACACTACTAAAACCCAAATTTAACTAACCTCATAAATGTAACACAATCTATAAGTTTGTACTATTTTTTTTACTTTAATTTTACACTAATAGTCCAATTTGACAATATAAATAACAAATTTACACATAAAAAAATTAACTACTTCTACACTACTAAAACCCAAATTTAACTAACCTCATAAATGTAACACAATCTATAAGTTTGTACTATTTTTTTTACTTTAATTTTACACTAATAGTCCAATTTGACAATATAAATAAAAAATTTACACATAAAAAAATTAACTACTTCTATACTACTAAAACCCAAATTTAATTAACCTCATAAATGTAACACAATCTCTAAGTTTGTACAAATTATTTTACTTAAATTTTACACTAGTAGTCCAATTTGACAATATAAATAAAAAATTTACGCATAAAAAAATTAACTACTTCTACACTACTAAAACCCAAATTTAACTAACCTTGATATGAAAATTAATAAACAATTTGGTCGAATATATTTTTAATAACATATTCATGGTAATTAATAAACAAGACGTAGTGACAATGGTATTTTTAAAAGTCCAATTTGACAATATAAATTAAAAAATCACAAATTAGAAAATTAACTACTTCTATACTCATATAATTGAAAATTAACTAACCTGAAAAGAGGCTAATCTCAAAGGTTGGAGAGGAATAGCTTGATAGATTGAAGAATAATATTCTAAGTATTAAGTATTGAGATGTGGAAATATGAGCTCTACACAAATCTATTTATAATGCTCGATTAAATAATATAAAAACAAATAAAACTCCTATCGGATTAGGTGATTCTGACCAGAAAAAAAAATTAAAAATGTAGTCGGATTTGGGTGTTCCGACTGGGAGGGATGATCCGGATGGTTAGATGGTGATCCGCGTCGGTGTGAAGAACGGTGAGGATTAGGATTCCAATAAAATGTTTTTCTTTAGTACATCCGCATGGGTCGAAACGAACGGACAGGATTAGGATTGAAAAAATTTGTTTCTTTACTTACTCGGATAAGTTAGCTACAAATAAAGTGTATTGAATATTTTAGGTTGCCGACACTTAAATTTTATGAAATTTGATCTTATTCAGTTATCTTCTTAAACTTTATGTGATAAAATTTTTCTGATTATATTTGTGATAAAGTTTATCTGATAAAATTTACATCATTATCTTTATGTGAATTTAATCTGAACAAAAACGTCACATACAATGAAACTGATCCGAAAAGGGAAACAAATATTTCATTACGAATTGGATGCAAAACTTAAATTTCATTACAAATATACAATACAATATTACTAATTCTCTCTACGCGTAGCACGCAAATCCATTTCGTTGGGAAATCGAGTTCTTTGTGGCCTACCGGCTCGAGCAGATCTGTTGTTTGTGAGCGGGAGAAGTGTATGTTGTGTTTCTCGCACGTAATTATTAATAGGCATAATATCAGAAGCGTACGTCCGGATGTACGCATTTAACGAATACACAGCTGGGATGAGGCCGTCTACGGATATTTTTAAAAACCGACAAACCGCATATGCGTGAACACATGGCAGCCCATTCTGCTTCCAATACCCGCAACCACATTCCTGCCTTGTCAGATCGATTGTCACCGGATCATGCGAACTAATGGCTACAGAGTAAATCCCGGTTGTGAAATTATGCGGGACAATAGTTGTCTGATACCTACGCTGGGATCGCTCAAGAACAGCATTCCATATGTTCTTTGGATATAAGAATCCAGCTTGGTGCCACATTAATCCCGCATTTCGTCGATCGGCAAACAGTTGGACGACTTTATCGAATGTGGCCTGTACTAGTGCTGTGATAGGCAATGTGCGACATCCCTTTAAGACATTGTTAAAACTTTCTGAAAGGTTTGTCGTCAAAATGCCATATCTCTTGCCATCGTCATAGCTCAGGGCCCACATCTCAACAGGAATCTCATTCAAATATAAAAAGGCACTCTCATTTATGCCTCGTATTTGTTGCATACATTCGTGAAATTCCTGTTCTGTGGGAGTGCTACCAGCTTGCCAACACAATTTTTTCAGATCCGCGTTTCTGAACTTGGTCATGAAATTACTCCGTATGTGACGGAGGCAATAACGCTTAGAAACTTGTGGCGATCTCAACTCTGGCAATGATCTAAATGCACTTTTAATTCCTGCATGACGATCGGAGATAATGCACACACTACGATGACTTCCAACCACATCACGCATAACCCAGCTAAAGAACCACGACCAACTGTCAGCATTCTCACTCTCACCAACAGCATATGCAAGAGGAAATATCTCACGGTTAGCGTTCATGGCTACGGCTACTAGAAGAACCCCCTTGTATTTGCCATACAAGTGAGTCCCATCAACCGAGACTACAGGTAAGCAAAATCTGAATCCGTCAATAGAAGCTTTGAATGACCAGAACACTCGACGGAATTCAGACGTATCAGGAACGCCGACCTGTAGTTGTGATTGCAAATGAACAACCGTCCCCGGATTTGAAAACTGTATAGCTTCCAACAACATAGGAAGTTCATTATACGAGGCCTCCCAATTGCCGAATTTACGCTCCAGAGCGATCAACCGTCCATTCCAAGCTTTTTTATATGAAACACGGATATTAAATTTTTCATATATGTCTGACATTATGAGTTTAATGCTGTAGTCCGGGTCAACTTTAACTTTCAGAGCGATTTCACTCGCTATGAGTTTGGCCGTTAGGATCTTATCATCCCGACATGTGACAGGATCCTCCCTGCAACTGTGATGGGGTTGATATTTTTTAACTTTCCATTTTGTGGAATTCATACCTTCTGCTGCCTGGATATGCCAAGTGCAAAGAGTCGGGTAAATGCAAACCGCCTTCCAAGACCGTGCCCTTTTGTCAACCGATTGGAATTGACGAAATTGACGAATGTTTTCTCTCGCCACCGCTTCTTTCAGTGCATCAAATGAAGGGTAAATTGCGCCGACTTCGATCCTTTGAGGCTCAGAATCAAGCACATATGGTTCTTCTAGCTCTACATTTGCCCAGGTGGGGTCTACTGTCTCGTCATTACCATCCGTCGTGGTTGTATCGACATCACTACAAAAACCTTGTTCATAGTCTGGGTCATCAGACTCTTCACCCGAATCTGAATGAATTCATAAGACTAAATGTGTTAGATTTTGTTTAAACGAGTTATATTATAAAATGGAAGTTTTCTCTAAATCAATGAGTTAAAAATTACAAAAATAAATACTTCTAAAACAAAATAAATGTTTTGTCGAATAATTTTTTTTTAATAAAAAATGTATTTTATAAAATTTAATATATATAGTTTTTAATAATAAAACAAAGTATTTGTAAAAAAACACCCTCCTGTCGGAATTGGGCTATCCGACAGGCAGTTTTTCTATTTTTTTCACCTCCTTGTCGGATTTGAGCATTCCGACAGGCTTAATTTTTTTTTATATTATATATGGTTTGATTATCTATTACATAACGTTAAAAACCATTTTTTCATTAATTATAAATATAATTTTGTGAAATCCAACATCAATAATGGTTTCAACACGATAATACTCCATATTATTTACATTAAAGACACATATTACACTAAAAACACACTCAACAAGATGTGTACACGATAAATTTGTACACATACAAAATTTAGAATAATATTATACACTAAATTAAAATTCCAATTTTTCAAAACCAAAATTGAAGTTCAATTCTAAATTTAACACTCTTTCTAACTTTCAAGTATGTTATAACTAAATTTAACCCTAAAATTCAAATTTAACAAATAAATTTCAAAAAATTTACAAATTACAAATTACTCTTTCTACGTTCCTAAAAAAAACTTAAGGCAAATTAAGTTAAAGATATATATATATATATATATATATATATATATATATATATATATATATATGGAATATTTGGGTGTATATACCACTTTGAATATGTGCAATTAAGTATATGTCATATATTTGTATAAATTAAACAAATAGCCTAAATAAGAGACGGTTGCACAAGTGAGCTTATATTACGTGTTCTCACATTACTTGCAAAAGTGCTATGCACTTAATTTAAATATAATATAGGTTATTAATTTGTCCTATCATATTTCTTTAACCTATATAATTATTTAACTCTAAAATTCCAATTTAACAATCTAAAGTAAAACAGTTACAAATTACAAAATTAAATTGAACTATACATACCGGGAGTTTCGTGGTTCTGAAACGATTGGCGGTTGTTCCTCCGACTTGATGATGGGCCTTCCACTCCATGAGTTTCGTGGAACGTCAAATTTTGTGGCGGGGTCGCTGAAGCTTCCACGTAAATGTGCAACTCCTCATACTCATTTGTGGCGATCCGGAAAAAATGCCGCCATGTTCGCTCATCATGAATGGGCCATAATCTAGAAGCAACATATACCGAATTCTTATATTTCGGCAATTTTCCGTAAATTAATTTAATTTCGGAAAATCCATCACGGATAACATGATTGAGAACATTTTCATGTATAGTAGTATAATCATCTCCTTCACTAATGAATAGTACAGCTCTAGGAGGTATGGAGTACTCTATTTCATCATCTCTTTGAGATGTAGAACCATTCCAATGCACCATAAGAATAATATTACCCTCACTAGACATTTTTATATATGATATATATTATAAATATAATATGAGAGGAAAGTGGTAAACAAAAAAGGTAATGAATATATTAAAGTGTTAGAGTAAATATGGTATGTGGGGATAGTATGTTAAGAAAGAAAGAACTGGGTATATAATGGTATGTGAAGAAAGGAAGAATGTTTTCCGAGTGTGTGTAAAATTTGAGAAAAAATGAATGTGTTTTATAGAGTTTTTAGGATAGTAGTTTGGTAAAATACTTGCACCACTATTAAACACGTCACACACCACTGTCGGATTCCCCAATTCCGACAAGCTACTTGGCTATTATCCGAGCGAATTAAAAAATAAAAAAATATATATATAAAAACCTAGTCGGAATTGTGTAATCCGACTAGGGGGTATTTCAATTTTTTTAAGTTTTCTGTGTAATCCGAAGCAATTATAAAATAAAAAAAAAAAATACAAAAACCTAGTCGGAATTGTGTAATCCGACTAGGGGTATTCCAATTTTTTTTAAAAAATTTCGAACACTCCCCTAGTCGGAAGTGGTTAATCCGACTGAAAGAGGTGTGTTTTTCAAAACCTAAATTCCTGTCGGAATTGGAAATTCCGACTAACGTGTTTAGGTAACCTAATGGGAACTCCCGTTTTTTGGAATGTCAGAACGAAAAGTTTCGTTATTTGGTAATTACTTCTTCTGCCAGAGCAATATCTTAAGGACCGGTTCTTATGAACATATCTTACGGGAGTTGTTCACTGGTAGGCATATTTGATCCTAAGGTACATGAAACCTTTATTAGGCTGGATAATAAGTTTCTTGTTACAAGTTATGATCATATTACTGAGATATTTAATAGGCATTTATTTTCTATTATCATAGTCTATTTACCTTAGGATCAAATATGCCTATCAGTGAACAACTCCCGTAAGATATGTTCATAAGAACCGCAAGATTAAGGAATATACGAATTAGAAATATTTATCTACGGTTTTAGGATCTTCCTAGTTATATGATCCGTTTTAACAAGATAGAGCAAATATCGTTTTTCAGCTATTATGGGATAATAATACTTTTAGCGGTTGTCCCGAAGGATTTAGCGTTTTCATCCTAAATCTTCCCGTATGTCTATACTCCAACAGTATATTTTGGGACTTCTTTCATATTATATCTCTATATCCCAGTAGTTTTACTCGGAATAATATACCCTAAAGGGTATCTTTGAACTCAAAATTGTATTTCCAAAGTTTGAAATAATAGAATCAACGTAATTCTATTTGGTTCGGGGATCACTTTAGGCGCCGGTTTTGAAATATCAAGAGATGATTGCCTATTTTGTAAACATACGTCCGAATTTGTAAGTGCCTAAATAGAGCAATTTTAGAGAAAAATTACTGGGGTAATTTTGAACGTCATCTGTGTTATACTAAGCTAAATGGCTTTAGGGCGTTATCATAATGGTAAGTTAAACCCTGTATATACGTTGACAATGCCGAATTAAGTAAAACGGTTTAGTATATTAATGTATTTAAATACCTTAAATACATTTAAGGTATTTAAATGTATTAACCAAACCTTTCTTTACACGGAATATTGGCTACCGTACGTATATTATATCAGTTATATAATATATATATTCTATATCTGATAACGTTGATCTTATTAATTCGGCGCCGTTTTCACTATTGATATCAAGATATGTTTTATAATAGCGTTCAGAATATGTAGAATCATTGAGATATATATAATACATTTATATCATTAGTAGCTTTCTACTACCGCGGTAAAGATTGAGTAATTACGGGTGACAGTTGAGCATACGCTACGTTTACCTATGGTTTGCAACAAATATCACGTACAAAATGATAATCAATGCTAATATGCTTACTTCGGGCATGCTGAATGGGATTAGCTGATAAATAAGAAGCTGAAATATTATCACACATAAGTGTAACTGGTGCTCGAACCGGAAAACCCAACTCAAATAAAATGGAGCGTATTTGTAGAGTATCCCGAACTGTGTATGCAATTGTCCTATACTCAGCTTCTGTGGAAGAGCGAGAAATAGTAGGTTGTTTCTTAGCCTTCCAAGAGACCAAGTTAGGACCCAGAAAAATAGCAAAACCAGAGGTGGACCGGCTACTGTTAGGACAGCCAGCCCAATCAGCATCCGAGTAAGCCTGTATGGTAGGAGTAGTAGTGCTCGGCCGAAGCAGTAATCCATGCGAGATTGATCCCTGAAGACACCTCAAAATACGCTTAACAGCCAAAAGATGAGGTGTACGGGGCGCATGCATGAATTGGGAAACCAAGTGAACAGCAACTGTAATATCAGGTCGAGTCATAGTTAAATACTGTAAAGCACCTACCATACTTCTATACTCAGACGGGTCTGCTAGGAGATCCCCATCAGTGAGAGAAAGTTTAGTTCGTGTAGCAAGAGGGGTACGAACAGGCTTAAGAGTGTGAAGATGAAATCTGGTGAGAAGATCATACACATATTTTTGCTGAGATAAAAATAAACCATATGGTACTCGAACAGCGAAAAGATGCCTCTAGAGAGGGACTCTCTAGGATTCCGGCAGGTTGGTAACCGATACTACCATGGCAACTTCAAAACCACCACCACAAAACCCCCCATCCACACACAGCCACTCCACAAATCTTATGCCGCAGCTGTTACATCCAAACCACCCCCAAAACAGCCTCCATCTCCTTCACCTCCACCCCTGATCACCTCATTTGCAGACCTGGTGCACCGAAGACTAACTCCCCTAAAACCCCCAGCTTTTAAGCCCCAGAGTGCACTTCATGGTATGCCCTCTCTCACTTTCTCTTCACAGGATATACTAGCCTTGGCAAACAAATACCAACACTGCCTCGTTGGTTCATTCCTCAAAGGTAGACCATCCATCCCTAATATCCGCTACTGGGTTCAAAAGTTGGGCTTCAAAGCTGTTGTCCAGGTAACTCCTTTGGGTCCTAATAATATACTTTTTCGTTTGACTAATGAGGAGGATTATATTAGACTATGGACCCGTAGATCCTGGATTGTATATGGCTTCACTATGGCTATCAATAAATGGACAGTTAACTTCAAGCCTAATGTTGACTCATCTATCGTTCCTATTTGGATCACTCTTCGTGGCCTCCCTTTACATCTCATGGACAGAAGTGCATTATTTGAAATTGCTAATTGTATTGGTACTCCTCTAAAACTGGACCATGCTACAGCCTCTCTTGCCAGACCATTTGCTCGTATCCTCATTGAACTAGATCTTATGAAGATTTCTCCTAGTTCTATATGGATCCAAGCGGGGGATCATGGATTCATACAGGAAATTTACTACGAGAAAATGCCTCCCTTCTGTAAAAAATGTTCTAAGGTGGGTCACTCTTGTCTTAACTCCACCTCAATCAATACAGAAGTTGGTAACAAAGACACCACTGCTACAGCTATCACTGGGACAGACCCCATCCCTACTGATACTACAAAACAAATAACCACTGCTGTGAATAATTCACATGTCAACCCACCCGACCCCCCTTCCAATCTCAATCAAATTACAATTTTCAACCCCCAAATTACTCCAGATTCTGTGCTGCCCTTTACTATGCCATTGACTATGACCTGTGCTTCCACTTCAGAGAACCCTCACCCAAGCTGCAGCTCAGCTGGCTCGCTTCTACCACCACCGTCGACCTCTTCATTAACACCTGCAAAAATAACTCATCACACTCAGAAAACACATCAACACTTTCAAAAAACCCCTTTCATCGCAACCCCCTCACCTCTTAAACCCCCATCTATCCCACAAAACCTACACACTGCCAACCCCTCTCCTCACCCCACCCCCTTTACCAATCATTTAACCATTACAAACCCCCAACAGGAGAAAAGGAAAAGGACAATGAATGTAATACAGAATTCAGATCGGCCTTCTACTTCTCATTCTAAGGAGGATAAAGTCAGCATGGAGGAAACTACAATGGAGGAACTGCCAGATAAAAGGATGACAGAAGCAATGCCCCCAGTTGATGAACAACCTGTCATTGATGTCCCTGGTCAGTGGAAGCAAGAATGTCAGCTATTACTTCAATCAAAAGTTCCAGGAATATCCGTGTACACAACGAACTTAATAAAGGATGATCTTGGGATCAAACCTCTTCTACAGCAGCTAGAATTCGACCCTGAGTTATCATCAAAACAATATAGCAAGTGAAATAGCAAGTGAAAAGTGAAGATTATGTTAATCATCTTTTCTACGGGTGCAGTGTGGCTCAACCAGTATGGTGTTACTTCTTGAATATATTTGGCATTCCAAAGCCCAGTTATGGTTACACTATTAAGAGTATTTTTAAGGACTGGTGGTTCAGGGCTGGGAGCAATAAACTGATTGATACCTTTAAACATAACCTTCCGGGCATCATTTGTTGGCATTTGTGGAGAATTTACTCTAGTATTATCTGGGGTACAACAAAAAGGGTCCCAAACTCTGAGTTTATCATCGCTCAAATCAAAAGCTACACTTAAAACTGGGTCACCAGTCTATCTAACCTGAAGGTACGTATGATAGGTGACATCCTTTTTGAAGAAAAATTGATCCCTAATAACTTCAAACTTAAAGGGGGATACTACAAGGCAGTGAAATGGAAACGATCACAGGGCAAGTTAAAACTCAACACTGATGCGAAATTTTTACCTGGTCAGACCTTTGGTGGCGCAATTTTGAGAAACGACGAGGGGATAATGGTATTTGCTACTTCGTTTCCTCTCGCAGCTAACTCTCCTTTAGAAGCTGAGCTCTCAGCGGCTCTACATGCCTCGGACCTGGCTATTGAAGATGGATACTCGAATTTCATGGTAGAAATGGATGCAGCTGTAGCTCTGGATTACATCTTGGATGATGGTGCAAGTCGATGGAAGAAAGGCTTTCAGGAAAGTATTCAGAAAGCTAAAAGGAATGGGGTTTGTTTTTCATATTGTGCGAGGGAATGCAATTGGGTGGCCCATCACCTGGCAGCCCAGCCCGCAGCCCAGCCCGCAGCCCAGCAACAACTGTATAAACGGGTACTAGACCTACCAATCTCAGCCCGGAATGCTTATTACTCGGATCTTTTTGGCTTCCCGTCTTTTAG